TATATATATAGTGATATAGGATAACAACAAAATTAATATATAAATCTTAAATTTTGAAAGTATAATGATATATAGTTGTAATTTTAAAGATATATCCACCTATACCTATATTAGTATATATATATTTATTTATTTAGATACATATTCATACATAAGTAGTCACGTATCAGCATTAAGCATATGGATTACTTCATACATATACTGATATAAAATTGACTGGCCGGTTCAAGTTTAGCCCAGTTTAATTAAAAAAACATACTTTAAAGGGATAGGTGAAACGCGAAAATGTAGACAAGCCTATTAGATCTTTCAAGGCAACACCCACTTGTAACAGATCTATGTGCTTTGTAGGCCAGTTTTGACCTCTCCTATCCACGAAGTCTCAAAACAGCCAAGTTACAGTAGCTAAATCTCCAGATCATGATAGAGGAGATAGAAAAAAACTATAAAATAGCTTTTTTGAAAAGAGTTCGTTACCATATAAATAATATGAAACAAAAAAGGTATGGGATAATGCTATCAGAAGCTCACCCACAAAGATTAGCAGATCCACAGCATATTGAATTGTCCACTGGAGACGAGAAAACCACTGTCTCTGAAGACAAGCCAAATTCAACAGCCGCTCAAGTAGATGGACTTGGTCGTCCGAATTGCTACAGTCCCGCATAGACTCACTGGAAACGGTGTCTTCCCGTTCGCTGCTGACATTTGTCACATGTCCCTTTGAGTTGGCAACATTCACAGTTGATCGGTTGCAGTTTTGCGAATTGGACAAGCTTCTGTTCCAGGATAGCAACCCTGCTTTGGAGCGAACGAGGCGGTTTGAAGAAAGAAATAATCTGGGCAGCTTTTCTGCAGACGACGCCTTAGACGCGAGTCCTGCCTCGTACAACGAGGCTGAGTGTGTGAGAAAAGTGTATGAAGTAGAGGGAACCAAAGATAAACAAACAAGTGCTACGCTTATCAGATCATGTCAAGCAATTGGCCGACTAAAGGGGCCTAATCACGTAAAGCATAATGCTTCGTGAGGAAACTAAAAAACAAAAAAGTGAATTGGACTAATTCCTAGTTGCTAAAATTATATTCTTATTACTTCCACCGAATTATCCTATAAATACTCTTAATGAATTGTTCTCCAAAACACTAATGGATGACTGTAATGCACGATTCTTATGTGAAGATATCTTTAATTTCGTTTATATACGAATACACACAAACAAGACCGGTAGTTACCCTATCCACGCTGAATTTAAAAGGATTTTAGCTATCCAATCAGGGTCAAAATGGTTCTGAAGACTAAGCGGAACTCTGTACACGAAGGTGTACATTACAGTGTTACGTTATTGAAGTAGTGTTAGTCGTCAGTTGTCGGCAAATATTAGCAATCCGATTCGGCTAAGTTACATAGTTGTATGGTTACGTAAATCTGCTTCCTGAAAGTGACGATTCGACGTAGTTTTCGAAACTTGGTACTGTGTCCTCCGCCATAGTGTTCCTGACTTCCAGCTTCAAACCATTGACTTGGTACATTTCCAAACGTTTCGTATCAGTTGAGTTCACTCTAGTTCGATCAAGGTGGTCTCGAAAACCGACTTATTCACGAAAAAAGTAACGTCGTCCGTTGCTATAGCAAATGCAAGTTCGCTTCATTGAAAATTCCAACACGGAATGTGACATGGAGAAACTGCAGTCCATGCTGGATGAGAACACCTTCTGCGAAAGCAATGGAAAGCATCAGCTCTACTCACATCATTGTTGGAGAATTCAGCTTAAACAAAATAGAGTGAGCACAACTCATATAGCTTATAGTATCGGTTATAGCTTGTTTCCACAACTTGGTGGCACAGCAACGTTGTAACGTTGTTGTAACGATGGCGCTTCTCACTGACAATGCCGACTACGATGCTGGCGAAACGTTTGGGAATGCACCGAGTCAATGTCCTGATGGAGAAAATCACGAAGACTACGACAGAGGACACAGGATTAGGCACGTTTCGCAAGGTCTTCCTGACGCGAAATCAAGCTATATATGAGTTTAAGCTGATGAAGGACTGGTAGCTGAATTCTCAAACAATGGTGTGAGTAGAGCTGATGCTTCCATTGCTTTCGCAGGTCTTCTCATCCAGGATGGAATGCAGTTTCTCCATGTCACATTCCGTGTTGGAATTTTGATAAAGCAATGGACGACGTTACTTTTTTTCGTGAATGAGTAGGTTTTCGAGACCACCTTGAACGCACTAGAGTGAATTCAACTGATAGGAAACGTTTGAAAATGTACCAAGTCAATGGTCTGAAGGTGGAAATCATGAACATTATGGCGGAGGACACAGTACCAAGTATTGAAAACTACCTCGAATCACCACTTTCAGGAAGTTGACTTACGTAGCTGTGCAACTATGTAACTTAGCCGAATCGGATTCCTGATGTTTGCCGACAACTGACGACTAATAATACTATAATAACATAACACTGAAATGAACACTTTCGTGTACAGAGTTCCGCTTAGTCTTCACAACCACTCTAGTTCGTTCAAAGTTCAAGCAAACTTGCATTTGCTATAGCAATGGACGACGTTACTTTTTTCGTGAATGATAGATCCTATTTACTCGTAGTCTCGTAAACCTACTCACTCACAATTATATAAGACCAAATAGATTCCTACAGATTCCTGATAATTGCAACCGGATGGGCGGTAATCGTAAAATGAGAAGTACCGGTTTTCTGCAACTCCCGCATCACTTGATCCAGTTGTTCCGTTACAGTCTCCAACATTGTTAAGACCAGACGAAACGCAAGCTGACGACTGAATGGTCCATAGAACAGCATCTGGCCTGGGGTCTCGGGTGTGCTTGAAACGGAGGCATTGGCAAAAAACCCCTTTCCACCGGCCTGGCCGACGCCTCGAGCAGGTACAGACGACTTGGACACGCCTGATGGCGTCTTGGGCACGAGCAGACGACGAATAAGCCGTTTCAGGCGGACGAAGATGAATCCAGACTTGCTGGTGTCATGATCCCATGCGTCAAGTTTCGTCAACAGCCAATCGGCGCTTAGCGAGGCCAAATGTGAGAGAGCATGAAGCAGTCTTTCGACCTGAGGATTGGCGCAGATACGAGACGTAAAATAGGTGTGGGATAAGAGCTCTTCCGTAGACGCGCTGAGAGCGGCTGGGAGGCTGAAGAGATAAGCGTCCAAAAGATTGGACATATTTTCGATGAATGGGAAAAGACCGACATCAAAAGCGGCTGTCAGGAGAATATCGGGATTGGTCTGGAGCAAAGGGATATGGAAAGGAATAGCGAGTTAATGGAAGCAAACAATACAATAATGCTCAAATAAAGTAGGCTGCTAGGGAATCGAGAATAGCAGTGACAAGTGAATCCTTTCAACAACTCGAAAACGGATACAGTTTTAATGGGCGTCAAATAGCGTATGGTTTGCAGATGATGTAGCCCCAGTGTTGGTCGAGGTCTCCTTTTCCTCTGCTCAAATGGTCTTACCTCGTCATCTCAACTTATGCGTGTTGTCAGGACGACGTTGAAAAGATTTTCTGGGACGAGGTGCTTTCATAGAGGAAATTGTTAACAGGTTGATTGGTATGAAATAGAATAGCAAAAGGGGCTCACTGTTATGAGGTCAGCCAATGCAAGCAATCCGTGCAAAGTAAGACGCAAACTGGCATTGTGTCTGTGAAAAAGTTCTATTGTTGAAGAGACATTCACACTCTGCGGCAATTGAGTCTTTACATCGACAGCTTTTCTGGTAGAACGGATAGTCGGAGAATCCGAGTGGCAAGAGTCGGCCTCAAACGAAGGATTGCCCTTATCTATGCGTAGATTAGGGCTTTCTTCGAGGGAAGAGAGAGCGGCAGATGGGGTTTTCTGAATAAGCACCTTGGGCTCTTGCTCCATTTTAGCCTCATTCATGTCCTCCTCCGCAGCTGTCGCTACAGACTCGCTTCTGTCAGTCTCCTCTTGAGCCTCATCTGCCCTCTCGAGAGTGACGTCGGTGGACCGAGACAAATGGCCGTTTTTGGCCAGTGCGATCGAGGCTACAATGAGATCACTGGCCGAGGTGAGGAGAACTGCAAACACGACCGGAAAGGCATCACGTAAGCCAAGCTCCATGAGGCAACGTTGGCAAGCGTAGCCTGTAACTGTGGGTGACCGGCAAAGGCAACAATTTTCTTTGTCATATCTGCCAGAGGCTGCAATAATGATGGATCTTTTGGTCTTCTCATGAGGGACTAATGTCTCATTTTGCTGTTTGACAACGTGGTCACATCTTGTGGGCAGATGGAAAGATTGAGATCTGCCCACTCCGGATGCACAGGAATCCGCTATAGGCGACTGAGAGTGCATGCGGTTGCCATGACAAGGGGTAGAAACCGGAGGATTGGGCAATTTCGGTTGAAACTCGAAGGCATCAGTCGACAGAGGAAAGGTTGCGGATGAAGAGCAAGGAGAAAAGATAGAAGATCGTTTGTTAGAAGCAAAATCCCCACTGTCGCCTGAGCTAAAATAGGCCACGTGATCATCGTTGTCTTCGTTGTAGTAGTCTCCATCGGTAGTCTCCTTAAACAAAGCAAAAGTAATGCAAATTGAAAACTTAATCATTTAGTCTTTCTATTTCAATCTTATATCTTGGTAAATTCCTATATGAGGTGTATTCATCTTATTTCGTTTAAAGTGGAATAAAGATTCGACGTCGCCTAGGTCTTATGAACATCTACAGCGGGACTAATCATTTAGTCATTCTATTTCAATCTTATATCTTGGTAAATTCCTATATGAGGTGTATTCATCTTATTTCGTTTAAAGTGAAAGAGTGAGTGGTATTTGATGCTGGAATAAAGGTTCGACGTCGCCTAGGTCTTGTCAACATTTACAGCGGAACTAAAACGATTAGAATGGGGAGTATAGTATCGAAAAATCAGTAATGCAGTCGATCGCTATAGCGAATATACAATTTGCCTTGTTAAACAAAACATAAGTAACGCAAATTGAAAACTTAATCATTTAGTCTTTCTATTGCAATCTTATATTGTGGTAAATTCCTATATGAGGTGTATTCATCTTATTTCGTTTAAAGTGGAATAAAGATTCGACGTCGCCTAGGTCTTATGAACATCTACAGCGGGACTAAAACGATTAGAATGGGGAGTATAATATCAAAAAATCAGTAATGCAGTCGATCGCATTAGCTAATATACTATTGGGCTTTCTCGATATGCCCACCATAGAATGAGATACGGGAAGATGCTCGTGACAATGCCGAGATTATACGCTGCATCGCCATAATTCGAGTCCCGCTGGGGGTGCTGATGAAAGTGCTAGCAAGGCTATGTGAAATTC